TTCATTCACCGGGGTTCCCCTGCTCACCTCCCTGGCATATTTGTCTATTTCCTTCAATATCATGTATTGCTTGGGATTTTAGAAGTGGAAATGGAAGTTAGAAATTTAGGATTGGTACACAAGGAGTCCCTGCCAACTGAAAATGTAGTAGAGGGCAAGATGAAGCAGTTGCAAATCTCTGATGTTAATGGGGAAATTGGGGCTGGCGTTATGGTACAGCAGGTTAAGCTGCTGCCTGTGATGCCAGCATCCCGTATGAGCACTGGTTCAAGTCCTGTTTGTTTTACTTCCGGTTCCCTGCTCACATGCCTGGGAAAGTTGGCCCAAGTGCTTGGACTCCTGCCACTCTTGTGAGAGACCCACCCGGATGGAGTTTCAGGCTCCTGGCTTCAGCCATTTGCGCCATTTAGGGAGTGAACCAGAGGATGAGGCCATTTGGGGAGTGTACCAGAGGATGGAAGATCTCCCTCTCTTCCTCTGTTTCTCTGTCATCTTTCCTTCTTCCCTCCCTCCTTCCCCCTCTCCTTCTTGCTCTCTCTGTAACTGTATCTTTCAAATAAAGATTTTAAAAAAAAAAAGATTTATTTATTTGAAAGGCAGAGTTAGAGAGGCAGAGGCGGGGAGAGAGAGAGTTCTTCCATCCACTGGTTCACTCCCCAAATGGCCACAATAGCCAGAGCTGAGCTGATTCAAAGCCAGGAGCCAGGAGCCTCCTCCAGGTCTCCCATGCAGGTGCAGGGGCCCAAAGACTTGGGCCATCACCTCTCTGCCTTCCCAGGCCACAGCAGAGAGCTGGATTGGAAGTGGAGCAGCCGGAACTTGAACCGGTGCCCACATGGGATGTCGTCACTACAGGCAGCAGCCTTTACCTGCTAAGCCACAGTGTGGGCCCCAATAAATCTTTAAAAAAAAAAACACACACACACACACACACAAAAGCTAGGGAAATCACTTCAGTTTTAAAAGTCAGGTTTTGCTGACTGTGTGAAGTCACTTTCATAAACATTTTTGCAGTCTCCTGCCGTTCTCAGGACACTACAGTGCAGGGCTGATTTGTCCCTCTCAGTGTGTGTTCCTGAGAACTAACTGGTCCAGAGTCGCTTCCATCATGCTGAGCCTATTGGGGGGCGGGGAGAGTGGAGGGCTGGGGGTTACCAGTGACTGAGCTCTTGCCAGCTCATATCACAGCAGGATGATTTAGATAAGCTGCTTCACCTCTCTGCTCGCCAGTGTCTTCATTAGTATGGGCGTGGGGTCTCTGCCCAGCCACTGGGCTGGGGGATTAAAGAAATGAGGTGATGGGCCTGCCACCTTGCTTACCACGCAGTAGGCACTCACCTTGTCGTGGTGGACAATGCTGTGTTGGGCCATGGGAAAGAGGTACCTGGCCTGAGAAGGCTTGAGAGTCACCTGGTGATTAGGGTGTGTCTAGCTCATTTCCTGTGGAAACAACACAGCGCCAAAGAAGTTACCAAGGACGCTGGTCAGCAGTACCAAGCACTTAGTGGCCTCTCCCAGGATGTCTTCTCTCTGCCGTGGTTGTCAAGGCGTCCTTCAGACCTTGTGGAGGGGAGTTTGTCACTTGCTTCCATAGGACCTTGCAGACCCTGCCCTGTGGGCAAAGGGAGCTATGGAGGCATTTGAAACAAAGAAGTAGCTGGATTTGCATTCCTTCTTCTCCATTACCATGGTCCCCTGGACACTCCCCACTGGACCAAATGAGCTCTCCCCAGTAGCCTGCAGTTTTCATCAGGTGGGAGGTACAACGGAATGGCAGGGCCTGGACTTCGGGTTCCACCCTTGGCTTAATCCCTCTCTGCCCGTTACCAGCTGGGTGTCCTGGGCTGACACCATGACCTCGCGGAACCTCAGTCTCCTCTCTACTGGAAGGAGTGGTCTTCCTACATAGAGGGCTGCTGCTCACAGGCACTCGTGTAGTGTGCACAACGCAAGGACTGTGTGCAGGATGGATTTCTTGAAGGCACGGGCCATTTTGGCCATTCATATCAGAATCAAAAGAGATAACAGATTAGCTGACCTTTCAGATTGGATTATGGAACATTTCATTGTTCTGGGTTTCTTGCAAGTTCTCTTTAGCCTGTTTTACCTTTTAGCCAGGGGGATTTTTCCTGGTAGTTTTGTTTTTTATTTATTTGAGATGGGGCTGGGAGGGAGAGGAGTGCTCCCATCTGCTGAGTCTCTTCCCAAATGCCTACAACAGCTAGGGGGCCGAAGCTAGGAGCTGGGGATTCAATCCAAGTCTTTCATGTTGGTGGAAGGAACCCAACTAGTTGAATCCAACTGTCCCTGCTGCCTCCCGGGGTCTGCATTAGCAGGAAGCTGGAATCAGGAGCAGAGCTGGGAATGGGACCCAGGCACTCTGATGCAGGGTTTAGGGGTCCTAACCAGTGAGGCTGAATGCCTACCCCCTCTCCTAGTTTTATGTTTCTTTTGGAGCAAGTGTGGGTAGCTTTTACATTCAGGCCCAGGCATTTTTCCTTGGCATATGGTTCTCAGGAGAGAGCCCTAGGCTCCTAGAGTATGTGTGGACGAAGTATGAGAGCTATTCATGTGACATAGGGAGAAGCCACAGCCCTGTGGGGGAGGTGATTGTGACCACAGCCAGGATGTGACTCTGGTCTGGTTCTCTGGAATGTGCATGTGAGTGTGTGAGGCCTGTGCTATCCAAGCCTGCAGCAGGGCTGGGCAGCTTTCTTGACACTGCCCAGTCTAGCTCAGCCATTCCTTCTGGTTGAATCTAGGTTGTCTTTCCTGTTTGTTTTAAAGGTTTATTTATTTTATTTGAAAGACATAGTTACAGAGAGAGAAGAGACAGAGAGGTCTTCTATCCACCGGTTCACTGTCCAAATAGACACAACAGCTGGATCTGGGCCAGACAGAAGCCAGAAGCCAGGAGTTTCTGCTGGGTCTAACACAGTACCAACCCCTATTTGTTTGTTTTTTAAATGTTTGTTTACTTGAAAGGCAGAGCTGCCCCAAATGCCAGCAATAGCCAGGGCTTAGTGAGGCCAAATCCAGGAGCCTAGAACTCTGCGTCTCCCATGTGGGTGGCAGAAGCTCAAGCACTTGAGCCTCCATCTGCTGCCTCCCAGGGTGTGCATTAGCACTCAGCTCTAATGGAAGCAGAGGCACTCCGATACAGGGCGTGAGCGTCCCTGCTGTGCCACAACTCCAGCCCCACTCCCTGGCTTTGATGACCATCTAAGATGTGTGTTGAAGAAAATTGTAAGTGGAAAGAAGGGAATTGAGACAGGAAGCCTGGGTTTCAAGTAGACAGATGTGGTTTTGGCCCCAACTTTGCCGTAGATTTACCTTAGTCAAATTGCTTGTCTTGACTGCACCTTAGAACAGGTGATCTCCACAGCCTTAGCATGCTAAGCGGCTAAGACAGAGGACTTGACCAAGTGGTCCCACTTTGGATTTGCTTGTGGCAGGGAGTTCTATCTCTAGTTGTGTTGTTTTTTCTGTGATAGACAATGTTTTTTCAGCCTGGGACTTTTCACTTTTGTTGAATACATTTCCAAGAAGAAATTACTGTATCAGTACAGGAACGTCATTAGGTTATTCCTGGGTGTCACTGTATTAACTTCACAAAAGCATTGTCACAGTTTAAGAATTGTTGGCGGGGTCAGTGCCGTGGCTCACTTGGTTAATCCTCCGCCTGCGGCGCCGGCATCCCATATAGGCGCTGAGTTCTACCCGGTTGCTTCTCTTCCAGTCCAGCTCTTTGCTGTGAACCGAGAAGGCAGTGGAGGTTGGCCCAAGTGCTTGAGCTCCTGCACCCACGTGGGAGACCGGGAAGAGGTGCCTGGCTCCTGGCTTTGGATCGCCGCAGCGCCAGCTGTGGCAGCCATTTGGGGAGTGAACCAGCGGAGGGAGGGAAGTCCTTTCTCTCTGTCTCTCTCACTGTCGGCAACTCTACCTGTCCAAAAAAAAAAAAAGAATTGTTTTTGTGTAGCATTTTGTTTTTTAAACAGTTTTCCTTATTTGAAAGGCAGAGCCATAGAGATCTTCCATCCACTGATTCACTCCTCAGAGGAGTTCATTCCCCAGATGCCCACAACAGCTGGGGAGTTGAAGAATGGGAGCCAGGAACTCTATCCAGGTCTCCCACAGCGGGGGCAGGGACCCAAGTACTTGAGACATCATTAACTGCCTCCTATGATGCATGAGAGATTATTTTAATCCAAATTGATCTAGTATTTGGTATGGCCATTAGTTATTATTTATTTGAAAGGCAGGGTTACAAAGAGGCAGAGGCAGAGAGATCTTCCATCTGTTCATTCACTCCCCAAATGGTCGCGATGGCCAGAGCTGGATCGATCCGAAGGCAGGAGCCGGGCTTCTTCTAGGTCTCCCGCACAGGTAGCAGGGGCCCAAGCACTTGGGCCATCTTCTACTGCTTTCCCAGGCCATAACACAGCTGGATCAGAAGAGGAGCAGCTGGGTCTTGAGCTGGCGTCCATATGGGATGCTAGCACTGCAGGTGGCGGCTTTGTACCTGCTATGCCACAGTGCTGGCCCCAAAATGGAACTTTAAAGTTGCTTGGTAATAATTAGAGCTGCCTGGGTTTTGGGGGTATCCACTATGTTTAAGGAATGGGGTGTTTGCGTATGTTATCTCATTTATTCCTCACTGTACACTATCAGAGAAGTTAAGTAGCTCACTGAGGTCTGCCTGGGCTTTGGACCTAAGGCAGGTTGTGCTCAACATGTTCTGTCTCTGTGCACCGTCTGTTCTTTGATTTAGTGTTTGGTCACCTTTTGTTCCCCTACTTGTTTCCTGGCTGCGTTTTGAAGTATGTAAGTTTGGGATATTTTCTTAGCAACCTGAATGTGCTGTTTGTATAGAAGAGATTATTAACCCTCTGTTGGGGTGGAAGCTCAGTGGTATCTAGTACAACTGGGGAGAAGACTAAGGTGAGCTGCCGGTCTCCCTGGGGCCTGCACTCTCTGAGAGCCTGTGTTCTCTCCTGCAGCGGCCCTCCAGGCTCTGAAGCGCAAGAAGAGGTATGAGAAGCAGCTGGCACAGATCGACGGTACGCTGTCCACCATCGAGTTCCAGCGGGAGGCCCTGGAGAATGCCAACACCAACACCGAGGTGCTCAAGAACATGGGCTACGCCGCCAAGGCCATGAAGGCAGCCCACGACAACATGTACGTGCTCACCACTGGTGGCGGGAGCCCCCCGCTCAGCAGGGCACTGCTGGCCCAGCAATACCTGGTGCCCATGCCATGGCCTTGAATGGAGCCCTTTCCCCGTTCAGACACCCGAGTTTATTCTAATGTGCTCTCTTTTTGGAGCTTTCTACATGGATTGTGTACCTTTCTGCCTTTGGAAGCGTATCTCATGGAATGGAGAAAGGCCTTCTGAGTAATTCTGGGCTGTTGGGACGAGCCTGCTCGTAAGCCAGAAAGGGCCTTCCGTGTCCTGTCACCCCAGCCCCTTATCAAGGTGGAGAGACCTGGGTCCCAGAGAGGGCAGCTGACTTGTCCTGGGTTGTGAGGGAGCTTGCATAGGGTTAGACTCAGTGTTTGTGACTTAACCTGATGCTGTCAGGGCCTTGAAATGTTTTGGTTATCTTGGGGCTTTGGATCTCTGTGTTCTGACACCCGCTTTTCCTGGTACTTTTGTTTCTTCCTGTTTTTGGCCACTGATTTCTCGCATACAGTAGCCTGAGAAACTAAGAGAAGCCTAAGAGGATCAAGCTTGCTACAGTTGCAGTAAAGGCCAGGGTGGCCAGGCTCCAAATGAGGGCTTCTCCTGTGAAGGAGACCCTGCGTTTGTTTAGTCCTGCATGCCTCGGGGTTTGGAACCCTGTGGTTCCTTTTGGGTACTCAGCTGTGCTCTGGAACAGGAGTTGGCAAAATACAACCTGGGAGCTTGCTGCCTCTTTGTGTAAATAAAGTTTCTTTGAAACACACTCATGCCCGTTAATATGCATATTGGCCTGTGTAGCAGGGTTGAGTGTTTGCAACAGAGCCTATAGCCCACAAATTCTAAAATATTTACTCTCTGGCCCCTACAGGGCAGGTTTGCTGAATCTTCTCTAGCATGAGGCTTCAGGAAAAGTAGCCTTCAGATACGTGAGGTGTTGCCTGAGGGTGGGTGTCTGTTGGACTGCGCTGCTCCATGGAGGACCCTGTCTGCTTCATTCTGTTCTCCCAGAGCACATCTCAGTCAGTACTGGGTTTGCTTTGAAGTACATGAGTCTGTTGGTCTGACAGTATAGTTTTTAAAAAGATTTATTTTTTTTGAAAGGCAGAGCGATAGAGAGGAAGAGGCAGAGATAAAGAGATCTTCCATCCGCTGGTTCACTACTCATATGGCCGCAACAGCTGGGACTGGGCCAGGCCAAAGCCGGGAGCAAGGATCTCCGTCCTGGTCTCCCATGTGGGTGGCAGGGGCCTGTGGAGCACTGTGGCCATCCTCTGCTGCTTTCCCAGGCACATAAGCAGGGAGCTGGATCAAAAGTGAGATGCTGATGTTGCAGACGGCAACTTAACCTGCTGTACCACAGTGCTGGCGTGGACAGTGAATATAAAAATTCTGCCTATTTGCCTTTACTTTGGGACCTAGAGGAGGAGCCAGAATGGATTTGAGTAGATGGGAATGGCCTGCCAGGTGCATGACTATGTTTTACCTTTGATGATTTTACCTCCCCCTGTAGACAGTTGCCCTTGAAAGAAGAGTAGTTGGCCTAGAAGTTAAAGTTCTGTGGTGTCATCTGACACATAAGTGATTTGCATTTGGTACCTTGCCTTCTAACTTTGCTAAGCCTTATTTCCTTAGGGTGTTGGATTAAATAATTATCTTACAGACACTTCCTTCCCCCTTGATTCTCTGACTCTTTATTTGAAAATGTTAGCTGAGATGGGTAATATAGGTTCTTGTCTTTGAATTCAGACATGAGACAGAGAGGAGTAGTGAGCAAGGTAGCAAGGTTTAGTGGGGTAGGGAATCTATCAGAACAATGGGCCCCTCTCCAGACAAAATCAGAGAGAGAGGGCCCAGTCAATCAGCCTGGAGAAAGCAAGGTTACATGGTTTAATGGAGAGACTACACCTGGCGGGCCAGGCGGGCAGCTCAGGAAAAAGCTGAGAGCTGAGCATGCAGTCTGTATTCAGACTGAGGCTTATAAGGGAGTGGGTCCAGTTCTTCCTGCTGTTTCTCCTTCCCTTCTTCCTCCTTCTCCAGGACAAAGAGTTTGCTGAGTGTGAATTAGGTAAAATTCCTCCCAAGGTTTCACCTGAGTGCCGTCAGACTGGGTAGCCCAGTGGAGCTGGGCAGAGGCGCTTCCCCTAGGGTGCCGTCCTTGGGGGAAGGCTTTGAAGGCTTTATCGCCCAATGTTATCAGGTTAGGTAGCCAGTTTGGTGCTGAGAGGATTCTCCTGGGGAGCTTTCCTTGGGGGAAAGGCTGAGACCCCTGTAAAGATATTGGGTATGGGCAGGACTTTGTAGTGTAAAAGACTGGGCTGCTTCCAAGGTGTGCTTTGAGGCTGTTACATTCCTCTCTTAGAAATTTTTATTTTCTTCAAACCTCCTGCCCCCCCCCCACACCCTAATTCCTAACTTCCTACCTAACAAAAGGAGTAAGGAAGACAAGAGTGATGGTCACAGGGAGTGATGGCATGGGTGGGGCTGAGAGGCAGGTTGTGTAGAGTGGAGTTCCTGCCCCTGCCTGGAAGACCCTCTTCCCCCAGACCCGTCCACCCATATGACAGTGTGTCCGTTTCATTTACAGGGACATCGATAAAGTCGATGAGCTAATGCAGGACATTGCTGACCAGCAAGAACTTGCAGAGGAGATTTCCACAGCTATTTCCAAACCTGTAGGCTTTGGAGAAGAGTTTGACGAGGTGAGTGGCTTCATGCAGATCTCGTAAGCCTGACAGGTGACCCCTGGCTGCCCCTTTACATGTTCTGGAAGGCTCTTAGGCACTGGGAATGTGGTTTGGAAAGTACCAGCTCTTCCCTCTGCAGAGGCTTGGGTGTAGACCAGGCGTGCTGCTCACCCCCCTGACTTCTGGATGGGAGAGACGCTTCCCGGTTGGCAGAGGGTGGCGTGAAGGAGCCTCCATCAGGACGCTTAGGCAGGCCCCAGGTCACTGATTGGTTTTGGCAAGTAGTTACACTGCACCTTTCCAAGGTGCATCCCTGGGTGCAGAGTTCCAGTGGCAGAAGTGGTGAGCCCTGGAGGAGTTTACAGGATTTGCCCTCAGAGAACCCTGCACTGGAGTCAGGGTAAAGCCAAGGAGGGGGCATTTACATCTGACCCACCATGGCTGCCTGCAGTTTCTACTATAGCAGGTTGGAACTTTGCGTCTCTCAGGTTTGTTTGTTATAAGATTTATTCATTTATTTGAAAGGCAGAGTTACAGAGAGGCAGAGGCAGAGAGAGTGAGGGAGAAAAAAGAGATTTTCCATCTGCTGGTTTGCTCCCCAAATGGCCTCAATGGTTGGAACTGGGCTGATCCAAAGGCAGGAGCCAGGAGCTTCTCATGGTCTCCCACACTTGTGCAGGAGCCCAAGGACCTGAGCCATCTTCCACTGCTTTCCCAGGCCATAGCAGAGAGCTGGATCAGAGGTGGAACAGCTGGGACTCGAACTGGCACCCATGTGGGATGCCAGCAATACAGGCAGTGGCTTTACCTGCTACGCCACAGCATTGGCCCCAGTCTCTCGGTTTTTTTTTTTTTTTTTTTTTAAGATGTATTTATTTTACTTGAAAGTCAGAGTTACACAGAGAGAAGGAGAGGCATAGAGAGAGGTCTTCCATCCACTGGTTCACTCCCCAGTTGACCGCAACGGCCAGATCTGTGCTGATCCGAAGCCAGGAGCCAGGAGTTTCTTCTGGGTCTCTCACGTGGGTGCAGGGACCCAAGGACTTGGGCCATCTTCCACTGCTTTCCCAGGCCACAGCAGAGAGCTAGATGGGAAGTGGAACAGCTGGGACTCGAACCAGCGGCCATATGGGATGCTGGCACTATAGGCGGTGGCTTTACCCGCTATGCCACAGCTGGCCCCTGTCTCTCAGTTTTTTAAATACAATAATGGCCTTTGTTGATGGTGCTTCATTATGTCTTAGATTTTTTTTTAAAAAAAGATTTATTTATCTATTTGAAAGACAGAGTTACATAGAGAGGGAGAGAGGGACAGACAGAGATCTTCCAGCCACTGGTTCATTCACCAAATGTCTGCAGTGGCAGGCTGGGCCAGGAACCTAAAACCTCCATTTGGGTCTCCCAGTGTGAATGACAGGGGCCAAGCACTTGGGCCATCTTTGCATCCCATATGGGATGCTGGCATTGCAGGCAACAACTTTCCCTACTGTGCCACAATGCTGGCCCCCCCATTATGTCTTAGATTTGAGTCACTCGGAGGTCAGCTCCTCTCCACAGATCCTCGTCCTTTGTCCTGCCTGCCTCCCATTGGATAAGAGAGGAAACGCTCTCACCCTTAGCTCCCAGTGCCATGATTTCCATGTTTTTGGATTAGAGTTTGAGCATCAAGCTAATTTCAGTTCAGCAAATACTCCTGAGTAGTCACTTGCTGTACCCAGCTCTGAGATAAAGCAATGCGATGAGAGGATCCCAGCCCCTTCCCAGGTGCTCGCAGTCTCCTGTGAGACCCGGACGTGTACATCGGTGATTGCTGGACAGTGTGTTCTGTCCACCAGAAGGAGCCTGTTGAGGACGCTTGAATCTCGGAGTGGAACCTGGAGTTCTTTCCTCTCTGGCCTTTTCAGAAGGGGATGTGTGTCCACCGAGCCTCAGGTCAGAGGCTGGCACAGGGGCTGGGAATCCAGGGAGGGCTCTCACTCTTGTGTTTCCTCTTACCAGGATGAACTCATGGCTGAATTGGAAGAACTAGAACAGGAGGAGCTAGACAAGAATTTGCTGGAAATCAGTGGACCCGAAACAGTCCCTCTACCAAATGTTCCTTCTATAGCCCTACCGTCAAAACCCAGTGAGTACTGCTTATCCCGAGCCCAGGCACAGTCCTGGTGCGTGTGGTGGGCGATCTTGAGAATGGGTCACTTCTATGTGGGTCCTGAGCTTGCCCAGGGTCGAGAACCGACAGGATTTGTGTGATGGCCACAGAGACAATGTCAAATGCCCTTTTCCTGATTTCTCTCTGGAACACAGCTTTTTTTTTTTTTTTTTTTTTTTAAAGAAAGATTTCTTTCTTAATTTGAAAGTCAGAGTTATAGAGAGCAGAGAGAGGGAGTGAGATCTTCCATTCACTGATTCACTCCCCAAATGACTACAACAGCTGTGGTTGGACCAGGCCAAAACCAAGAGCTAGGAGTTTCATCCAGGTCTCCCATGTGAGTGGCAGGGGCCCAAACAGGGAGCTGGATTGGAAGTGGAGCAGCTAGGACTTGAACCTGCGATCGTATGGGATGCTGGTGTTAGAGGTGGTGGCTTAACCTGCTGAGCCACAACACTGATCCCAGGAACATAGTTTTTTAACCTTGGTACTTGGACTTGGCCAGATAATTCTTTGGCCTAGTAGCTGGGGACTGTCCTGTGCACTGTAGGTGTTTAGCAACACCCTAGCATCCACACATTAGATGCCAATAGCAACCCACCCTCCCCTGAGTTGTGAGGGCCAAAAATGTCTCCAGACGTGTCCCTAGCAGGAGCCACAGCCAGTTGAAAGCCTCTATTCTAGAGTGATTCTTTCTCCCCGCTGTGTTACCAAATGAGAGAAAGCTCCGGTCACTGTGAGGTGTGAGAGTTCAAGTCCAGGGCAGCTCTTACGCCTGTGTGGTGCCCTGTACTGGGCACAGTGGTAAAAGCCCAGGCCCTGGGATGGACCCCTCCCCACCTCGATAGGAAGGAAACAGCTTTGGCTCTTTTAGAGACATGCTCTACAAAACCTTCACTTCCTTCTTCCTGTTCCTTCTCTCCTCCCCTCCCACAACATCTCACCCCAGGCAGAAGGATTCCACACATAGCTTCTAGGAAAGAAGGAGCAGTGTGATGTGGCCCGAAGAGCGTAGTCCCCTGCCTCTGAGGCGTGTGGAGGGGTGGGTCAGGCCCCTTGAGGAGCTGGGCTGGCCAGGCTCAGCTGTCTGTGCTGTTCTGTCCCCAGATCCCGCCTGGGGTGCTCTGGGTTGGAGGCCTTGACGGAGTCCCGATGGGCGCGCTTGTGAAGCCTGTCTGGTCCCACTCTGCTGGGTGCAGGGAAAGTGCCTGGTGTCCTGGAGCCTTGTTGCACAGCTTTTAGGCACCAAGAGGCCGTTTGCCAAGCAGACACCGCACGGCACAGCCCTAGCGCCCAGCCAGGCTGTGGTGAAAGCACTGCCGCCACCCTCTAAATAGCCTTGTCTCTCGTCACACAGCCAAGAAGAAGGAAGAGGAAGACGACGACATGAAGGAATTGGAGAACTGGGCCGGATCCATGTAACTGGTCCAGCACGGCTGGGCCCAGACAGACTCTGGTGGCCTGCACAGCGGGCAGGCGTGTGCGTGTGCGGGGCAGGTACAACGTGGTGCAGGCCGGCTCCACCGTTCTCGAATCTCACTCCAAAGCAGTAGGGCCGCATCACTGCTTACTCTCGCATCGCATGGCCTGCACCCTGTGGGACGGGTGGGGGAGGGGGGCGGGCGGGTGGGAGGTGCCTGCTGTTTATAATGTTGAATTTCTGTAAAATAAACTGTATTTGCAAATCCAACATTGAGCTTCTGGACTGCGCTAACCCCACTGCTGAATCCTCCACGGAAAGGGTTGCGTGTTGACGGCGCAGTGAGCTGTAAGCGCAGCCTCTGTCCTCAAGTCAGGTGACTCGTCGCGCATCTGTAAGACTTGTATGGTAATGGCAGAAACGTCGTGTTTTCAAAGCCATAGGCTTTTCTCTGTCCTCAGCTGTAATAACAGATTTGGGTTTCCTTGAGAGCTGTATTCCTGTCTATCCCCCATGTGCTGGCCCCTGTGTTTTCCGCTCCAGCCCACTCCTCACTCCCTCTCCCCCTGTCTTTTGGAGTTTGTGACACTTGATTCGAAATGGGTGGTGTTCTCTTGAGAGCAAGTGAGATTGTTCGCATTAAATTCCAGCTATACAGTTTTCTAATCTAGCTCTATGTTCTGCATTGCTGTTTGTGATAACTGATAGATAACTCATTGGAAACATGTGCATACATTTATATTCAGATGAAATTATGGTTTGCACTGTCTATTAAATATCTCGATTAATTTTCATACTTCGCCATTGTGTTCAGTCAGTCATTTGCCTGGGAGCTGACCCTCTGCAGGTCCGCATGGCATCTGGTGGGGTCTGGAAACACTTGGGAGACTGGAACAGGATGTCCACTAGTGGTGGGAACTTGCTATGAACTGGGCCCAGTTCAGGGTGAATGGTCCTTGGGGGCTCCGGGGTCTTCTTCCTTCAGTGCCAACATGAGCTCCCGCCCATGGGGAGGATGCAGGAGGTGACAGGATCTAGGACACAGGTGTTTTCTCAGGTCTTCTTTGACTCACCGTGGAACTTGGGCCCATGGTACCCAATGATGGCCGTTGCATTTCTGTTGCTGTGTAAGAAACTACCCTGAAGCTTAGCTAGGGAGAGCAACTGTTTTATTATACTCCCAGATACTTAGGGTCAGTGATCTGCTTTTTGAGTTTGATTTTTAACTTATTTGAAAGGTAGAGAGAGAGAGACAGAACTCCCATCTGCTGCTTTAGTCCCCAAAGGCCTGCAACAGCTAGGATTGGGCAGGCTGAAGCCAGGAGCCAGGAGCTCCATCCAGGTCTCCCACATAGGCGGCAGTGACCCTAGTACTTGAGCCATCACTGCTGCTTCCAGGGTGCATGTTAGCAGGAATCTGGACTTGGGGTAGAGCAGGGACTGAATCCCAGGGACTCTGAATCGGGATGCAGGCTTCCCAGGCAGTGTCACAACTGATGCGCGAAAGGCCTGCCCTGGGCCTCACGTTTGGAAAGGGCCCCTGGGGATGGCTTGTCTGCGCTGTGATGACTGGGACCCAGTTCAGGAAGACCTGAATGCTGGCGGTCACCTGGAGACCTCTGTAGTCACGTGGTACACGTGGTTGTTGGCCTGGACGTCCTGTGGGGCTGCGAGTAGTAACACTGGCCCCTCATGGGCTTCTTTACAGTGCAGAGGCCTCCATGTGATCAGAACTCAGGGCTAAAACTGATGGTCCCAGACAGTAAAGGAGAGGAGCCTCCCTGTGTCTGACCTTAGCCTTGGAAACCGTGCAGAATGACATGACTTCACTGCCACTTCGAAGTGAGATGCAACTCCCCCAGGTTCACGGGGAAGAGCAGTGAGACCCTCCTTCATGGGGGTGGGTCTAGTTGTAAAAGGTCACGGTGTGCTGAGGTGTCGCTGGGCTGGCTTTGGGACACAGTCTGCTGTCACATCAAACGATATTGGATAAGTGCCAGTACTGGATTAACTCAGTCGGTCTCTGAACTCCTACTGAGAGAATATTTTGGGGCCCACACGCATACATACACACACTAGGATTTATGTCTTTGTCTGATGTACATGTGTACTAACGTGTCATGTGCATGATACACACACAACCCCTTGAAGTTCTGAAAGCTTGGGATAAGCAACAAATCCAAGAGACGTCTCGGGGTTTTCTTCCTGTGCCGGGAGCTGAAGGAGTCACTTCTGCAGTCCGTCCCCTCTCTGCCCTGGCCCAGGGCACCACTGACTCACCTGGGCAGCCCCAGCGAGGCCCTGGCTGATCTCATCATCACCTGACTTGCCCAACCCCCATCGATCATTTCTTCACAGACACCAAGCCAAAGCCACAGTGGGCTTTCTAAAGAACTGTCACTCACCATTTAAAGTCCCTGCAGCAGTCACAGCTTCCACACTGGGGCTGGATCTGGCCCCTGCTGCTCTGCTCTTCCCATCTGGCTGCAGGCCCTCTCCTCCCGGGTCCTGCCTGGAGTGGCTGAGTCTGCACGCAGACTCATGCATGGATCAGATTGCTTGGGGAAGGGACCCCAAGTTGTGCGTGAGACCTGCTTCCAGGTAGGTTTCTTTTGTCTGTCTAACTGCCTAACTTAACCCGTGAGATGATCTCTCTTTTTTTTTTTTTTTAAGATTTATTTATTTATTTGAAAGAGAGAGAAGGAGAGGGAGAGAGAGGTAGAGACAGAGACGCTGGTTCACTCCCCAGATGGCCACAACGGCTGGATCTGCGCCTATCCGAAGCCAGGAGCTTCTTCTGGGTCTCCCACGCGGGTCCCTGCACCCAAGGACTTGGGCCATCTTCCACTGCTTTCCCAGGCCATAGTAGGGAGCTGGACTGGAAATGGAGTAGCCAGGTCTTGAACCGGCTGCCATATGCGATGCCGGCGCTTCAGGCAGCGGCTTTACCCGCTACGCCACAGAGCTGGCCCCCAGTCTCTTAGAGGGCAACATCCTCACCCCATTCTAAAGATGAGAAAACCGAGTCTCCGTGTCTATGGTTAGAGGACGGAAGAATTACCACCGAGTTGGGCTTCAGGGGCAAAGCGTATACTGAGATTTTCTAGGGGCACTTTCCAAGCTCCTTGACTAGGGTAGGTTCTGCGGATACTTTCCAGGTGCGACGTGAGCCCGCGAGGGAGCCCAGCCCAAGCCCCCAGAGAATGCGGTTCCCGCCGCGCGCCCGGGGGCCTGCAGGTGGCGCCATCGCCCGGGCCACGCAGCCGGCGCTCGGCGGGAAGAGCGTGGAGAGCCGGGCTCCTCAGGGAGGTGGGCGCGGGGTGCAGGGCTAGGCCCGGGGTGGCGCGTGTGGCGGAGGCGTCTATCCCACCGGCTCCTCCTGGAACGGGGACGGCCGTGGGGTGCGGGGGAGGGGCCGGGCCAGCCCGCAGGTGGAGGACAGTCGCTCCTACGGAGGCCTATCCTGCCAGGGGCCCTGCGTGTGTGCGCGGGGCAGAGGGGCGGCGCCGCTTTGACGGGAGGCCGCTCCTGCGTGGACTAAGGACACAGACACCCCCACCCGGCCCCGGACTACCGCCCCTCTGCGGTCCCGGTCCAAGCCTCAGATCGCTGTTAAGCCGGGCTACTGGGAAGTGCGGGGGCTCCCAGAGCCCAGCCTGCCCCCCACTCTGCACCCTGCACCCCGCGAGGGCCCCAGCGGCGCCTGGGAGAGTTCCGGGAAGCTGTGTTTTTAGCATACACCCTGGGAAAGGCTGCTGGAGAACAGCCGAGGGAGAAAAACGCAGGCCCGCCGGCTTCCATGCCGGGAATACGGCCGCTGTGGTCGAGAGAGCCCAAGCCCTGCCCTCTGCTGCGCACTGGGCCGGCTGGTAAAAAGGAACGCAGGGGAGCTGCGGTCCACCGTGATGAAGGCTCCCAGGACAGGGACGCGGAATCTGAAACCAAGCCGGGGCTCTGGTGAGTGAGGGCCCCCGAGGAGCCGCGCCTGTGCCGCCTCCCCAGCCCTGACAAACAGCTCGTCCCTCGGCGGCGGGGGTGCCCTGTGATGTCGCCCCCCAGGCTCCTCCGCTGGGCCTCTTTCCTCTGACCTTTGGCTCCCCCGCACTTCAAAAAGTTCATGGAAAATGGAATTGAAAGATGAGTTTATTTTGGCACAAAAATATTTTGAAATCCATGCATCCAATGGATCTTCAAAAAGTTCATGAAATATGCAATTGCCAACAAAAACTATGCATGAATTTCATTCTTTTGCACCAAAATAAATATTTTTAAAAATTTATTTATTTATTGGACTGAGTGCTGGAGTTCCTGTTTGCTGGTTCACTCCCCAAAGGCTCATAACCACCAGGGCTGGGCTGGCCTGAGTTCAGGAACTGGGAACTCCATCCGGGTCTCTCCACGTGGCTGAGCAGAGGACTTGATGGCCTTTGGAGAGGAGCTAATGGTTGGTGTAGGGGCAGGGCCATCACCCTGTCAGCACAGCCCCCTTGTTCCATTTGCTCTAGTCGTCCTAGCCTCATTTTGGTCAAGTGAGAACGTGCCCTGCTACAGACCAGCTTTTTAAAGTTTTTTTTTTTTTTCCCCAAAGGATTTATTTGTTCATTATTTGACAGGCAAAGTGACAGAGAAAGAGGGAGACAGACTCTCCATTCACTGGTTCACTCCCTAAATGGTTACAACAGCCAGGGCTGGGCCAGGAGCAGGTACTGCATCTGGGTGTCCCATGTGGGTGGCAGGGGCCCAAGCACTTGGACCATCTTTTGCTGCCTTCTCAGGCACATTAGCAGGGAGCTGGATTGGAAGCAGAGCAGCTGGGACTCAAACCAGCACTCTGATAGGGATGCCAGTGTCTCAAGTGGTGCCTTAACCCTCTGAGCCACAATGCTGGACCCAACTTTTAAAACTTTTTTTAAAAATGTATTTGGAAGGGGACAGGAAGAGAAAGAGATCTATCTGCTGGTTCCCTCAAATGCCTGCAATAGCCAGAGCTGGGCCAGGCTGCAGCTAGGAGCCCGGAAGTCCCTCTGGGTCTCTACCTCATGAGTGGCAGGGATCCACATCTCCTTCCCTTCCCTAACAAGGACACCTGCCACGGGATTCAGGGCCCACCAGACTAGTGCAGGATGTATCCTCTCACAATCCTCAGTTTTAGCTGCAAAGATCCTTTCCCCAAACAAGGTCACCCTCACAAGTTCTAGGGATTTGGATGCAGACACAGCTCCTGCAGGGCTACCCTTCCAGCCACCATGGGGGTTGTGACAGTCATGCACACCTCCCGGGCTCACTGCTGGAGACAGGCCAGTGAGAGCCAGGGGAGTCCCCGAGGATGCTAGGCCGTGCCACCTGCAGGAAGCTCGGGCCAGGGGAGGACAGGGCGACAGGGCAACCTGTCCTGGCAATGGGGAGACTCTGTCCTTGTGGGCCAATTCCTGGGAGCGGATCAAGCTGGACCCCGGGCCACGGAGGCAGCTGCCCCGGGGTCTCTGCGTCCTGTCCTGGCAGAGCGTTTTTCCCATAAACAGGCCAATTAAGAAGGCAAATGTTTCCAAACAGGAGGATTTATTGGCATCAACTGTGCCATCCCTCCGAGCAAGAGGAGTGGGGGTGCGGAGCCATCTGGAGGGAAGCTGTGCGTTGTATTTATTTAGTTACAAGTTGCTGGCTCGGAACTGCCAGGGTTCGGGAGGAGTGAGCAGGCATCCCGGGGAGGCACAGACTCAGCAGCACCATGCACACATGTGTGCTGGCATCTGTGCCTGCGTGTGCGTGTTTGTGCATTTACTTACACATGCAC